CTGAAGAGTTAGTTTCTATCTTTATAGACTTATTTAGCAAAATGGAAAAGAACAAATACTCTCTAAAATTTTCCAAATAACCTGAACACCAAAAATAGACACATACAGTTTGAGAAAATAAATTATAGGCCAATCTCAAGAGCCTGAATACATTATACCAAATGGAATCCAGTGGAGTTAATTTAAAAAAAAGTGTATTTATCATGATCAACTTGGCTTTATCCAGGAATGCAAGGGTAGTTTAACATTTAAAAATCTTGAATTGTGATCTACCTAATAGACTACAAGGGAAAAATCATATGTAATCTCAATAGGAACAGAAAAAGCTTTGGATAAAGTTAACCACTGAATCAGTTCTACACTGATTAGTGTAGAAAGTCTTAGCAAAGTATGAATAGAAGAGAATTCTCTTTACATGAATTAAGTTATCAGCCAAAACCTCAGTAAACATCATTCTTAATAATGAAAATTTTTTTAAATCCCATGTAAAATCACAAATGGGACACATTTGCTCACTATCATGTTTTTAATCACCATTAAAACTGGAGTTCCTAGCCAGACAATAAGATGAGAAAAATAAATAAAGTCATAATGATTAGAAAGGTACAAACATTTCTTCTATTCCAAGTTTGCTTAGAAAAAACAAACCCGTAAATATTTGCAGATGATATGATAATATACAAATAAAATCACAAAGAATTTAAAACAATGTGATAATCATTAGTAAGGTGTCAGGCTCTAAAGCCCATCTGCAGAAATCAGTTGCCTATTGTTTGTGTTTGTTATGTTTTATTTTATATTTTGTTTGCTCTTTGCTGTTTGCTTTGGGTCATATTTTCAGAAGAAGTAGGAAGCAGGTCAGAGACACATCCTAAGTTGCTGAGACATCTGCAGAAACAGTGCAGAGACTAGGAAACTGTTCCTCCCAGTTTGCTTGTTACTGAGGGTTTTGTAGGATGCAGGACTTTCAGGTTTGATACCATGACTGTCCCAGTTTGCCTGGGGCTGAGGGGCTCCCAGGGTGCAGGACTGTCAGTGCTCAGACCAGAAAAGTCCTGCACAAACCAGGAGGAGCTGATCACTTTGTGGGAGAACTATAAGTAGTCCAAGTCATTGCAGCTTAAAATGCAGGGCAGGAAGTGGTGGCAGACAAGACTTGGGAGAAGAGCAGGGACCAGATCACAAAGGGCCTGGTGTTCTGTATTAAAGGAACTTGTACCTTGACCTTCAGGCAGCAGCGAGCTGTTGAAAGGTTTTAAGCAGGGAGGTATGTGACAGTGACAGTTTGCATTTTAGTTAGACCTCTTCAGCAGTAGTGTAGAGGCTGGATTTGAAGGGGCCCATGCTAGAGGTAGGAGGTGGTTGCTATAATCCAGGTAAAGATGATGAAGACCCACACTAAGGGGCCGTAGAGAAGGAGTGGAGGGGACAGTCCCAGGGACTACTTATGAGGCAAAATTTGTAGAGTGACTGACTGGATGTGGGAGTGGTAGACAAGAGTTGACAATTATCTCTGCCCTTCAGAAAAATGTTACACAACATGTTGGCTAAATGAAAATACAGCCTGGGCACGGTGGCTCCTGTCTGTAATCCTAGCACTTTGGGAGGCCGAGGTGGGCAGATCACCTGAGGTCAGGAGTTCAAGAATGGTGAACCCCATCTCTAATAAAAATACAAAAATTAGCCAGACATGGTGGCACAAACCTGTAATCCCAGCTACTTGGAAAGCTGGGGCAGGAGAATCGCTTGAACTTGGGAGGTGGAGGTTGCAGTGAGCCAAGATTGGGCTACTGCACTCCAATGTGGGTGATAGAGTGAGACTCTATTAAAGGAAGAAAGGAAGGGAGGGAGGGAGGGAGGGAGGGAGGGAAGGAGGGAAGGAAAGAAAAGAAAAGAAAGAAAGAAAATACAGAAAGAGAAATATAATCAACACTCATACATGCATCACCCAGTTTAAGGAATAAAATATTAAAGATACCATTGTATCCCCCTACATATACCTGATACCACTTCCCTGATATCACTTCCCCTTCCCTTTCTGGAAGTGACCCCTACATTACACTGATACTTCTAATTGCCATGATTTTCTATAAAATTCTGTGACATAGATGTAGATGTACATTGCTAAACAACCTATACTAATTGCAATGTTTTGCATTTTTTCCTAAACTTTATAGAAATTATATCATATATTATTCTGTAACATGCAGTCTTCTCTCACCCTTGTGCATGAGATATAGCCCCTGCACAAGAGTTCTCTGAAAAGGAATGGGAAGAAAGAGACTATATTCCAGTAAACAGTTTGCAAACTATATTCAGTGTAAAACGAAGGTGCATTCCCCAACTGCTTTTGTAAATGGTGGTCATGAACAGTTTTAAAATGTGATATAAAAAAGGTACAGTTTATAGTTACAACAAAAATGTACACATCAGTTGAGAAAAACCAATAGAAAAATGATCAAAAGACAATAACAGGCATATCAAAGGAGAAAAATTAATAGACAGTATATAAAAAATGCTGACTCTCATGAGTAATAACAGAAATACAAATTAAAATTGAAGTGAAACACCATTTTTTATACCCAGAATTGGCAGAAATTAAGAAATTGGGCATTGTCAAGTGCTGGAAGGGATGGGAGCTAACAAGATCTCATATATACATTTGTTGGGAATGTAAACTTGTGTAATGGCTTTAGAAAACAATTTGGCATTCTCCGATGAATTTGAGTATGAGTGTACTTACTCCTAGATATATATCCTACAGAAACTATTACCCATGGTTACCTAGGAACTTGTTCAGAGCAGCACAATTCACAAAAGAAAAAAAAAAACTGGAAATGACTGAAATATCCATCCTTTGATAGGAGACTAAATAAATAAACTGTAGAATATTTACTTGGTGGAATACTATACAGTAGTGAAAATGAATGTTTTTGATGAGTGGATAAATAAAATGTGGTGTAGCCATACAATAGAATCATATTCAGCAATTAAAACTAATGAAGCACAGTCGTGTGCTACATAAGGACATCTCTGTCACAATGGACCACATATACAACAGTGGTCCTGTAGGATTATAGTACCATACTTCTGCTGTACCTTTTCTGTGTTTAGATACACAAATACTTACCTTGTGTTACAGTTGCCTACAGCATTTAGTACAGTAATGTTATACCCAGGCGAGTTAGATGGAACAGCGCTACGCTGTCAGTTTGAATCACGAGTCCTTTATTAATTGGCCAGCAACCGAGAGACTGCTAATGCTCAAAATTCTCTCGGCCCCAAGGAAGGAGCTGGATTCCTTTTTATACCTTGATTAAGGTAGGGAAGGGGGAGCCTAGCTGAAGCAGAGTTTACAGAAGCAGAACAAGCAAGTTAGATGAGAAGGCTGGTAACTAGGAGGCAGGAGGTTCGTGATTGTTGATTTCCAAGGAGGGTATACACAAGTGGTTCCCATGATTGTCAGTTACCAAGGGGGGTATTCAGTACTTGTCATATAATCAATCAAGTGGGGGCATTCACAGTAGCAAGTGGGCTTGCCAAGCAGGATATGGTTACAAAGGTTATATGTTTCTATAGTTTTAAATACAGCATGACCCAGCATAGTAGCAAGACCCAGGTATGCACCTAAGGGAGAAATGGCAGGAGAGGTGAGGCGGAGGTTAAGATGGAGTCTCTATGGCTCTCAGCAAAATGGAGTCTGTCTGGCTAACACAGGGTAGGTTAGCACAGTAATATGATATACAGGTTTGTAGCCTAAGAGCAAATAATCTATATAATATAGCCTACATGTGTAATAGGCTATACCATCTAGGTTTTACTAAGTATACTCTATGATGTTTGCACAACAACGAAATTGCCTAACAATTCATTTTTCAGAAAATATCCTTATTGTTAAGTGATGCATGATTGTACTGATACATGCTACAACATGGAAGAACCTCAAAAATGTTATGTTAAATGAAAGAAAACCACATATTTAATGATTCCATTTATATGAAATGTCTAAAAGAGGCAAATCAGTAGAGACAGAAAGTCAGACCAGGGGATAGGAAAGCAGAGGAGTGGAAGACTAGGAATGACTGCCAGTTGGCACAAGATTTCTTTTGGTAGTGATGAAAATACTCTAAAGTTAGAAGATGATGATGGGTGCACAACTCTGTAAATATACTGAAGGCCATTACAATATATACTTGAAACAGGTGAACTTGACGATGTGAATTATGTATCAATAATGCTATTAAAAATGAGTACTCTAGTAATACAATGCAACATGAGTCTTTAAAAATAGTAAGTTGAATGAAAAAAGTTCTAAAAGATGATATATAGTATTATGCCATTTCTATATAACTTAAAAATAAGCAAAATGAAATAATATTGTATATTGTTTAGAGATGCACATTGACATGACAAAACCATTATGAATATTGAAAGAAAGGATAAACATACAGGTAAGTTGCTGACTCTGGGGGAGAAGAGGCACATGGGACAGAGGAGGAATCCATAGGTAGATGCAGTGCTATTGGGGATTCTTATAGTTCTTCAGTTGAGTGGTTAAAAGCTTAAATCTTATTTTGATTATAATTTACATATTTTGTTTTTAATCATTTATAGGTATCAAATATTACATTTGAGATAATAGAAAATGCCTTAATAATAATAATATGGGTATACTAGCAAAAAACTCTTGTATAATAAACTCTAGGCAACTAAGTAGATGAATCAGAGTGAAGAAATGGAGAAGCCAGGCACAGAAAAGTTAGATGATGAGCAACAAATCATTTAAAATAGAAATGAGTAAACAGTGGTTTGAATTGCAGTTTCAGAACAAGATGTAAATGTTAAAAACCCAGACATTATGAAGGGTAATATAACTAACAAAATACAGTTGGAAGAGGGAGAGAGGAGGAAGAAAGTGAAATGATGTCTATTTTATCAAATTTCATAAGGAAATTGTCAGATATTGTAAAAAATTGAAATATAATTTTAGAAGTATGTTGATTGGTTTTGCAAAATATATACTAAAATTGGAATGATACAGAGAAGAATAGCATAGCTCCTGTACACACAGGGTGATACACAACTTTGTGAACTATTCTATATTTTTCATATAAAATTAATTAATCTTTTTTCCCTCTAAAATTTCATAGAAATAGTAAGTGCAGTAGGATATAACTATCAGTTGTCAATCCTAAATTTTCTTTTATTTTTTGAGACAGAGTTTCGCTCCTGTTACCCAGGCTGGAGTGCAATGGCATGATCTTGGCTCACGGCAACCTCCGCCCCCTGGGTTCAAGCAATTCTCCTGCCTCAGCCTCCTGAGTAGCTGGGATTACAGGCACGCGCCACCATGCCCAGCTAATTTTTGCATTTTTAGTAGAGACGGGGTTTCACCATGTTGACCAGGATGGTCTCGATGTCTTGACCTCGTGATCCACCCACCTCGGCCTCCCAAAGTGCTGGGATTATAGACGTGAGCCACCGCGCCTGGCCTTCAATCCTAAATTTTCATATTCAATATCTGATACATTGGAAATCTGGTAATTTAAGATTTGTTTGCAAATGTGCAAATATTTACAGTATAAACTTTAAAATCATTTAAAAATGAATGGTGGTAAAATCTACAAGTGGTGTGAAATAATTGTAATGTACCTGTATTTTTATTCTGACAAACTTTGGCGTTTCAGATTGGATTTTTTTAGAAAAAAATAAAAATAAAACATACATCAACTCTTCCCCAATGTTTGTCACTGAGGGAGCTATGGACATTTGGGTTGGATATATTTTGGTGTTAGGGCTGCAATGCACATAATAAGATGTTTGACATCTCTGGAGAATGCCAGGATCCTCATAATTGTGAGAACCAAAACATGTCCATGCATTTCTAGATGCATCCTAGGGAATTGGCACTGCCTTGGATTGAGAACCACTGCTCTAACGTCTTAGAGGTTTTCATGTCTTTCCTATTAAATTTAGAGCAATGTTAGAGAATTAGAATCTCATAAAATCTCAAAAGGGAATCATTTACCTGAAATTCATTCAGCTTCATGATGGTGTCCTTTTCTTCTATTAAACTAAAATAAAAAACTTAATACAGAATAAACCCACTTACTGAATGCAACAATTTGCATTAATAAAAAAGTATTTGTTGAAACAAGGAATCTGAAAAAATATACAGTTACTTTACATATTTTTGTTATGATAATATATGTATAACACAATTTATCATTTTAACCAGTTTAAAGTATACGGCTCCATGGGATTACTTACATTCACATTGTTGTGCAATCATCACCACTTTCCATCTCCAGAACGTTTTCATCTTCCCTGATATGGTTTGGCTGTGTCCCCACCCAAATCTCACCTTGAATTGTAATAACCCCATGTGTCAAGGGCGGGGCCAGATGGAGATAATTGAATCATGGCGGCTGTTCCCCCATACCGTTCTCATGATGGTGAATAAGTCTCACAAGCTCTGATGGTTTTATAAATGAGAGTTCCCTTGCACATCCTCTCTTGCCTGCCCTCATGTAAGATTTGACTTAGCTCCTCCTTTGCCTTCTGCCAGGATTTTGAGGCCTCCCCAGCCATGTGGAACTGAGTCAATTAAACCTCTTTTCTTTGTAAATTACCCAGTCTCCCCTATGTTTTTATTAGCAGTGTGAAAAAAGACTAATACATTCCCCAATGAAATATTAAATATAAATTATAGGTAGTTATTTGTCATTTGCCAATCTCTTAAATTGGGACCACGATCTTTTCCTTGAGAGTGGTCACCTGATTGGAATTCCCTCTCACCATATTTTTTCTATGAATTGCCATTCTGTGATTTTCAATTTCAATTTTTAAAAAATGAAACAAGAAAGACACCTGGATAGGAATCTGAGTATAGAGTCCTCTTAGATTCCCCTGGCCCCCTATGTGTCATGGTCACATCTATTTTGAAAGCAAACTAAAAAAAATTGAGAAGGCTGGTTTCGAACTTCTGGACTCAAGCAATCCTCTTGCCTTGGCCTCCCACAATGCTGGGATTATAGGAATGAGCCACTGCACCCAGCCTGAAAGCAAATTTTTAATCACCCTGTATTTATCCACTTTTTCTAACATACTCAACCTAGTTTTTATGGAAACAAAAATTTGTTCTTTTCACGTTTGTATTTTATCAGTTTTCTTAACATTTATTTAAATTATATAACTAAAAAAGTTTGAGGCTAGGTGCGGTGGCTCACACCTGTAATCCCAGCACTTTGGGAGGACAAAGCAGGTGGATCACGAGGTCAGGAGTTCAAGACCAGCCTGGCCAAGATGGTGAACCCTCTTCTCTACTAAAAATACAAAAATTAGCCATGCATGGTGGCATGTGCCTGTAATCTCAGCTATTCAGGAGGCTGAGGCCGGGAATTCCTTGAACCTGGGAAGCAGAGGTTGCAGTGAGCCAAGATTGTGCCACTGCACTCCAGCCTGGGCGACAGAGCGAGACTCTGTCTCAAAAAAAAAAAAGAAAAGAAAAAGAAAAAAAGTTTGGGTTCAAACACCCAAATTGACTCATGGAAAGCTTCCAGCAGAACTGGTAGAGACAGAAGTGTGGGCATCTAGAGAGCTATCTGCTTGCTGTGGGCATTTAAAGTGAAGGGTGACATGGCATGATCTGGCAAGTCAGATATTACATTAACATGATGGATTCAAAATAGCATGCATGTCTGTGATGGTTAATTTTATGTGTCAATTTGGCTAGGCCATGGGGTGCCCAGACATTTGGTTAAACATTAATCTTCTGTGTCTGTGACAATGTTTCTTGATGAGGTTAATATTTGAATAGGTAGACTGAGTAAAGCAGACTGCCTTCTTTAATATGGGTGGGCCTCATCCTATCCTTTGAAGACAACATGAATAAAACAAAAAAACTCATTAAGGGGGAACTCCACCTGCCTGACTGCTTTGAGCTGGGTCACCAGTTTCTTTTTGGCATTCTGACTTGAAGCTGAAACATTGACAGTTTTTTAGTCTCCAGCCTGCTAAGTTTCAGATTGGAAATATATGTCAACTTTCCTGGGTCTCCAGCTTGCCAACTGCAGGCCTTGGGATTTCTCATTCTCCACAATTGCATGAGCCAATACCTTATAATAAATCTTGTTTAGGATCTCTCTCATAGGTATATTCTATTTTCTTTTACCTTAAGAAAAACCAGTAGCTTTATTTTTCCTCAATATACATTTAGAAAATTGGTCTCAGAAGAGGTTTCATGAAAAGACCAGAGAACTATTTATAAAATAAAGAGTTCTAAACCAGTAAAAAAAAAAAAAAGAGGGGGGGCACAAATGAAGCACACATCCCCAGGGGCCACTGCCACCTAGGACCCTCTCATCAGAGGGGAGGCAAGGTTTTTGATGGCTTTTGCATTCAGGTGAGGGATCATGCTGATCTTCAGGAATTTGCTGCTTGCATACTTATTCTTGATGGTGGTGAATTGTGAAGTTTTCATTTACTTTCAGCACATTTTTGACCATGTTCTGTACAACGTCGAATACTTCATTCTCTGTGTATCTTTTATAACACTGCTGCTTTTACTTCCATTTTCTTTGGCCCAGAACCTTCTGAGACAAGCAGGAAGCAGCTGCTGCTGCCTTAGAAGGATGATAATGCATCATATTGTAGTCAATGAAAGTCAGCTCCATCAAATATTTGGCTAAAGTGTGCTGTTCAACATCAACCTTTCCGGCTTTCAATGCTTGCCTTAAGAAGTGTCATGGCAAGGGTCAACCCAACTCAAATTTCAGTTTTTTCAAAATTAGTTTCCATTTTTTGGATTTGGGAACTAGTGTAAGCATTGTCTGTGATGTAAACAAAGCCTTCAATATTTGGAGAAAACATCTCCTCATGCTTGGAAGCCAAGAGCATAGCAGTAATCCCAATTAGTTGAAGCTTCCTCCAGGAAACTGCCTGAACCAGTAAAAATCACACACACAGAGTCTCCTGAAGAAGCCTAAAAACTTGGAGTGGATTTGCACCAGCCAGTCTACTAGGATGGTGCAAACATACATCCATTTATATGTCATCCATCTAAGAAATGTGGATTTATGAACTGCAAAACCTCCAGCTGCCTGAGGTACTGATAGGTATCCTTAACACAGTCACTGCGGAGCTGAGGGTTCTTCCAGTCTTCGTTATCAATGTCCTCAATTTTGCAGAGCAAGGCAACAGAGAAAGCTTGGCAGATGTTCCCTTCTTCATGGAGACATCCTCAGGTGTAGGAAAAGGACCCTCTGAAACCAACATTTCCATCTGTACTGTTTCATAGAAGCAGTACGTTTCTATGTTTGTTGACAGTAGCTGTTTTCGTGGGTTACACTGGTACTGTGGTGTTCTGAGCGTTCTTAGCTTCTTGTGCTGCCCTGGCTGTAACTCTGTTCTGAAACAGTATGTCTAATGGTTCCATGACTCTTAGCTTTAGAATTAACTACTGTCTCTCTCTATGTATATACCCATTTATCCAATTGGTTCGGTCTCTTTGGAGAACCCTAATACAATACCTGAAAAGTAAATGCAATGTCGATCTTGGGAAAGAAAATTTCACTTTATAAAGTGAAATTTAAAAAGAGTCTGGAATTTAGTTAATAGTAATGTACCAGTGCTGGTTTCTTAGTTGTAACAAATGTACCATAGTAATGTAAAATGTTAGCAATAGAGGAAGCTGGTTGAGAGGTATAGAAACTCTGTATTAACTTTGCAATCTTTTCATAAACCTAAAATTATTCAAAAATAAACATTTTGTTTTAAAAAATAACATGTACCATATGATCTATCTCTCTGAAACCATTCCTAATTGTCTATCTATTTGTATTTATGGATTCTATTCAACAAATGTTAGTAATCTTTACTTTGGGAAGTTATTTACTTATTTCTTCATGCTTTTCTGTATTGTTAGAGTTTAAAAAAAATAGGCTGGGCACAGTGACTCACGCCTGTAATCTCAACACTCTGGGAGGTCAGGTGTTTGAGACCAGCCTGGCCAACATGAAGAAACCCCGTCTCTACTAAAAGTACAAAAATTAGCCAGGCGTGGTGGCACATGCTTGTTATCTCTGCTACTTGGGAGGCGGAGTCAGGAGAATCTCTTGAACTCGGGAGGTGGAGGTTGTGGTGAGCTGAGATCAGGCCAATGCACTCCAGCCTGACCAACGTGAGTAAAACTCCATCTCAAAATAAATAAATAAATAAGCATACATATTTTACTATAACAGTGAAGTCATTTTTAAAAACATCTGATGCTGTTTTGACAAGATGACTTCTAAAAATCTTCCAGAAAAGACGATGATCTTTGATTTCATGTTATTTTTTTAATAGTATAGTCTCACCTATAACATTCTCCTTAGGAACCCAAAAATGGTTTTATGATGAGGCTCCTAGATTGATACTCTGCAGCAGGACTTGAAAAATGACCAGGTTGTGTTACCATAAGAATATGTTGTTCCTGTTTTTTTTTTCTAGTTCATTAAGGCTGCTATAACAGAATACCTTAAACTGGGTGGCTTATAAATAACAGAAATTTATTTCTTACAGTTCTGGAGGCTGGGAAAGCCAAGATCAAGGCACCGGCAGATTTGGTGTCTGGCGAGGGCCTGTTCCCTGGTTTATAGATGGCTGTATTCTCACCCTTACATGGTGGAAGGGGCAAATGAATTATCTGGGGTCTCTTATTTATAAGGACACTAATCCCATTCATGAGGGCTCTTACCCTCATGACCTAATCACCCCTCAGAGGCCATGTGTCCTAATACCATCACATTGTGGGGTAGGATTTCAACATAAGAATGGGGTTGGGTAGGAAAGCAAACATTCTTTAAATAGCACGGACCCATACATAGCTTAATGGTTTATGTCAGTGTGTTACTATGGCTATGTGCTAGCCATACGCATCATAAAGAAATGAAAGGCTTTGGTTGCAGTTCTTCTGTGGTTCTGTCCAGTAAAGCAATAAGAGAATAAAGATAGGGATTTTTATCTCCAAATCAAAGCAGAGCTTACCTTTCAGTAATTGGAGGAATTAAAATAACAAATTCCTAAATGCTCTATGTTCTAGTACAAATACAAATTTTTAATACTCACTCTGTTTATCCTCATATCCTCTCTTTTTTGTTGTATTCTTGTCGCTCTGTCTCCTGATGTTCAACCTCTCTCCTTTGATCCTTTTTTTTTGAGGCAGGGTCTCACTCTGTTGTCCAGGCTGGAGTACATCGGTGACATGACAGCTCACTGTGACCTTAACTTCCTGGGCTCAAGCCATCCTCCCACCTCAGATGCCCAAGCAGCTGGGACCACAGGCACACACCACCCCGCCCAGCTAATTTTTGTATTTTTTTTAGAGACGTTGTTTCGCCATGTTGCTTAGGCAGACATGAACTCCTCTGGGCTCAAGTGATTCTCCTGTCTTTGCCTCCCAAGGCGCTGGGGTTACAGGCATGAGCCACCATGTGCCAGCACCCTTTGACTTAAAATATTAGGTCCTATTGTAAATTCTTAAGGGAGCCATTTTTTTCCTTTTTCCACTCTAATACTATGAATGCTTTGCAGGTGGAGAGACTGTTCTCTTCATTTCTGTTTCCCTTCACCTAGCACGGTCCTCATGCATCAAATCATGAAGGATTATAGCCACAGTTGCAAATGGAACCCTGGGGTTTTCCAGTTCTCCTACTCATTCAAGTTCTGTGTCTCCTTCTTCCCACTATTTTTCTTTCTCAGCCCCTTTTTCTTCTTATGATATAGTTATAGGCTTATTGTCTGTATTGTGTGTCTTCTGAATGTGCAAGCTCTAAGGTCATTCTGCTGTTTATATGAGGCCAGGTCTTCCCTTTAACTTGTGCTTCCAAAAAGTAATAATTTAATCTATACCAGTGGTTCTTAAACTCTAGTGGGCATTAGAATCACCTGGAGGGCTTGTTAAAACAGACAGCTGGGTCTACTCCCAGAGTTTCTTATTTAGTAGGTCTGGAATGGAACTGGAGAATTTGCATTTTTAACAAGTTTCCAGGAGATGCTGATGCAGATACTGATGCTGCTAGTCCAGAGAGTACACTTTGTATATCATGGACCTACAGTCTACAGAGGCATCGGCTGGTTGTCTAGTTCCCTTTACAAGGAGGGAAAAGGAAATGCAGATGTTTAGTGTCTAGAACTTAACCATAAGGTGAACATAGTAGGAAGAATATGCATGTTTTGTTTGAAACCAAGATGTAGAGGCTTTTCTTTCTCTTATAATGATTATTCTCCAAATCATTTCTGTAGACCATAAGTAAAGTTAAAAGTGCTAAAGGAGGAAAGAGTATTGATATTTCTATCAGAGCACAGAAAAAGGTTAATTATGGCATGTACCTCTTAAAGATCTCCTTGCCATCTGAGCCATCTCCAGAAATACTTGCCATAGAACTGAAATAGAAATGATTATATGAGTAAATTATCACCCACACTCCTTGCATGCATCATTTCATACCACAAGCCTTTTTCCTTTTCAAGGAATAATGGTTTTACATTTTACTTTGTGATGGCACTCTAATTGCTAAATATAAAGAGGCATTATGTTACAAAGTTAAAAGACTCCAAGTGAAAAGATAAGTCAAATATAGTAATTTCACACAACCAATAATTCTTCAAAGTTTGCTTCTCTTTTTTTCCAGCTGTCTCCCAATTGTGAACTCTCACAGACTCATGAAAATTGAATGCTAAGGTAGAGAAAAGCTAACAGGAATCTTAGAATATTTCTAGTCCAGGAGTCTGTAACTATGATCTACTGGCTGGATCTGGCTCACCACCTGTTTTCGTAAATAAAATTTTATTGGAAAATAGGCATGCCCCTTTTTATTGGGAAACAGCCATACCCCCTTGTTTACATGTTCTGTGTGGCTGCTTTCACACCATAGAGTTAAATAGTTGCAACACAGACCATGTGGTCCAAAGCTGAAAATATTTACTATCTTGACCTCTACCAAAAAAGTTTACTGACTCCGGCTGTAGTTCCAGCTAGTCACTGGACAGATTAGAAATCTATCTGGCGGGAGAAAGTGGGGGAGGGGAGGAGGGGGTGGAGGGAGAGGTAGCTCAGGTTTACACATTCAGACAGAAAGAGGATTGCAGAATGCGAGGCATCTCCCTAAGCAACTCCTGTAAGAGCTTTGGTTCCCTGAAAACCGGTCACAGCTGCCCTTCATGTATTAGGAGAGAAGGAGATGTTGGGGTAAGTTTGTATCTCATTATAGTTTTCAAAGAATCTCTTCAAATGTCAACCCCCAAAAGAAGAGTAGTGCGACAGAAATATGCTTCGATGTTGGTCCAAAGTGTTGTTATGGCATTTATTTGCACAGTATACAAAGCACATTAGCAGCCTAACATTTGGGGCTCATTTCTAATAATGAAAAAGTCATTTTTCATTGATTAGGAAATCATTAGGATCATCTTGTCTTTCAGAAAATATACTAGCATTCTGTTATGTAGTATTCTCCATAGTTCCCAAAGCTTTCAGGAGAATGTGCCTTATAGTGGGAATTCTTATTTCCTCAAGTTATTAGTCACTAAATTGACAAAAGTATGCGAGTGTGTGTGTATATGTTTACATTGCTATTTTTACATAATTTATATATCCAGATCTAAAATAAAATAATAGAGTAGTGCTAGGTGTTTCCTAATCTCTCTCATTTATATGTTAAAATATATCTGTTCTGTAAATGAACAGAAACCCAAGTTCCATGGTTTCAGTTAAGTGCCAAGATATGTGCAATGAGTTAAAATGGAGTATCTTCACAAAAAGGATTATTTTGTAATTCATCAGCTCTTTATTGGATACCTCCTCTGTGCCAGGAACCCACTATACTGACATGATACACACCAAGAGGCTAAGAGGAGCTCATAGTCTGATGTGGGAGGTCACCACCCAAACACATGCAATACAATGGCTGCAAGCTCTGCCATGGAGAGAGCCCTGAAGAAACATTTGAGTGAAATTGAAAAGATGAATAGGGGCTTGCCATGCAGATATGCACATTCCAGGGAAATGAAATGTACTTTTAATGTTAATTCTCTTGGGAGATGTTCTGGACTCCTTAGTCCAAACCCCTTAAATATCCCTATTCTGTGTTCCTATAGCATCTATCTATCACAGGACTTTTCTGTGATATGGCTAGAAGATAAGGTATGGGGAAGGAGAGACATGCGGCTGAAGAGGTAGGTCAGTGTAAGATTGTGGAGGCCCCTATATGCCACTCTAAGAATTGGATTGTATTTATTATTTCAGCAATTTCATATTGGCCCCCAATCTGTGCCAATCCTGTGTTAGGTTCTGGAGATACAAGATTCAGCCCCTCCCCTTGTGGACCTTACTGTTTCACTGAAGCAATATGTTTTTGGTTTTTTTGAGATGAAGTTTTGCTCTCGTTGCCCATGCTGGAGTGCAATGGCACAATATCGGCTCATGACAACCTCTGCCTCCCAGGTTCAAGCGATTCTCTTGTCTCAGCCTCCCAAGTAGCTGGGATCACAGGCGTGCACCACCACGCCCGGCTAATTTTGTATTTTAAGTAGAAACAGAGTTTCTCCATGTTGGTCAGGCTGGTTTTGGACTCCCACTTCAGATGATCTACCCACCTCGGCCACCCAAAGTGCTGGGAATACAGGTGTGAGCCACCGTGCCTGGCCACTGAAGCAATATTAATTGTGGATGAGATATGGGCCCTGAATATAGACTGCTTTTAGTACTGTTTTAGTTTTAAGTTCCTCCATACTAGCTGTGCAGTCTTCAATTTCTCAATGCTTCAGTTTCCTTATCTTTAAAATTGGAATAATAATAGAACCTACCTCGTAGTTGCTGTTGTGATTAAAATGAGATGATGTATGTAAAACTTCCTGGCACAGGGAAAGTACCTAACACATATTAAGCACTCCTTTTACTGGGGAAAACATAGAGCAAGTAATTAAAAGTATGATGGGGGGCCGGACTCAGTGGCTCATGCCTGTAACCCCAGCACTTTGGGAGGCTGAAGTGGGAGGATAATTTGAGGTCAGGAGTTCCAGACCAATCTGACCAACGTGGTGAAACCTTGTCTCTAATAAAAATACCAAAAAATTAGCTGGGCATGCTGGTGCATGCCTGTAATCTCGGCTACTTGGGAGGCTGAGGCAGAAGAATCACTTGAACCCAGGAAGCGGAGGTTGCAGTGAGCCAAGATCGTGCCACTACACTCCAGGCTGGGTGACAGAATGAGACTCTGTCTCAAAAAAAAAAAAAAGTATAAAGGGAATTGCAGAAGATGAGGCCCATAGAGCAAAAACAAGGTAATGGTGGCAGGTGGTGGTATGCTGTGGACAGGATCTGGAGATTCAAAGAAGTACTGTCTAGCAGAAGAATGGATGGAAATGAGGCCGGAGAGGTGGCAGCAGCCAGCTCATGAAGAGGCTCAGGGGAAGATTTTGGACTTTGTCCCAGGGTCATTGAGAGCCACTGAAGTGATTAAGCATGGGAATGACACAATCAGAGTTGTGAATTTTTTTGTTTTTGAGACAGGGTCTCTCTCTGCCACCCTTGCTGGAGTGCACTGGCATGATTAAAGCTCACTGTAGCCTTGACCTCATGTGCTCAAGCAGTCCTCCGGCCTCAGCCACCTGAGTAGCTGGGACCACAGGGGCATGCCACCCCACTCAGCTAATTTTTTAATTTTTTTTTTGGAAAGATGAGATCTTGCTGTGTTGCTCAGGCTG